CAGCACCACATAAGCAAAAAGAAAAAAGCCGGAAGTGGCGCTGTGGCTTAAGTGGTAGAGCGCTAGCCTTGAGCTTGAAGAGCTGAGGGACAGTGCCCAGGCCGAGTTCAAGCCCCATGACTGACAAAAAAAAAAAAAAAAAAGGATTATTGTAAGACTCAAAACTATCCGTGTCAGGTATTAAGGAAACAATACCTGGGTCTGGTGCAGTGGAACATCCCTGTAATCTCACCTGCTTGGGAGGTAGAGATCTACGAGAATTGCAAGTTTGGGCAAATAATTTGTTAATGAAGACCACTCCCCATCACCCAATCTCAACAAAACAAGTTCAGCATGGTGGTGTGCACCTGTTCCCCAGTACATGTGAGGCTATAGAAAAATCTTGGCCCAGGGATGATCTAGGCCATAAGCAAGATCCTGTCTGAAAAATAAAGCAAAAAAGGCTGGAAATGTGGGTCAAATGGTATAGCACCCGACTACCTAGCAAGTGTGAAGCCCTGAGCTCAGCTCCTCCCACAAAAAGGAACAATGGCTGGTGCTAATATGAACCCCATCATCATCTAGGGAAAGGAGAAGATGACAACTGACTTTAAAATAGTTTTAAATAACTTTACCATTTTTCAACCATAGGAGCCAGCTGGATATTAACAATAAGAAGAGTGTAACTGATTCAATCCGGGATGAATATGCTTTTCTTCAAAAGAAATACCCATCTCTTGCCAACAGAAATGGAACGAAGTATCTTGCTCGGACTCTAAACAGGTAACATTTTCATCTTTTTTTCCCCTAGCTTGAAATCAGGGCCTCCTGCCCTTGCTTGATGTTTTCCCACTCATGGCTGGCACTCTACCACTTGAGCTATATCACCAGTTCCAGCTTTTGCTGAAATTGTTATCTGGAGATTTGACGACTTAGGCTGGCTCCAAACCATGATCCTCAGATCTCCGCCTTCTGAATAGTTAGGATTACAGACATGAGCCACCAGTGCTTACCCACATTTTCATTTTCCCTTTTTGAAAAGGAGGTGCTTTGGTTTTGCCAGCAGGTGTCTGAGACTGTTTCTTTACAGTTCTTGTAAAGTAGATGTCTTTTTCAGAGGGTAGCTAGTACTAAATAATCAAATGTATTTAAAATATTGAAGTACAACATGTTTTTGTGGGTTGTTTTTTTTTTTTTTTTCATTTTTTGGTGCTCGTCCTTGGGCTTAAACTCAGTGCCTAGCTGCTGCCCCTGAGCATTTTCACTTAAGGCGAGTACTCTTCAGCTTATTGGTGTTTAGTTGGAAATGAGTCTCACATGGACTTTTCTGCCCCAGCTGGCTTAGAATTTCAGTCCTCAGATCTCAACCTTCTGAGTAGCGATGATTACAGGCATGAGCCACCAGTGCCCAGCAATGACAAAGTTTTGATAGTTAATCTAGTTTTGAGGTTACAACTAGTTATAAATGACTTTAATTGAAAAGCTGAAGTAAAATTTATAATTTTCATACCATTATTTTTAGAGCTTTTTCTGTTCCTATTGGTAGTAGAAGTAATGTATGTTGTATACCTTGTTCCTTGCTGATGGCATAGGAACATTCTAGATTATAAGTGACTGGATAAATGAAAGCCATTTTCTCTCCCTAAATGAAAGGCAAATTGTATGTGGATCTGAATAAGGTGGGTTTACACTATTCTGGGGCCTCCTATAAAAGATGAGCTGATAAAACCAGATTATATGGGCAGAATTGGACTGATAGGCTTACTTTTCTTGTGGTAAAATGATAGTAATAGGAAAATAATTTGTTTTTTTTTTCTTTTCTTTTTTTGTCGGTTGTGGAGCTTGAACTCTGGGCTTGGGCACTGTCCCTGCGCTCTTCAGTTCAAGGTCAGTGCTCTACCACTTGAGCGATAGCGCCACTTCCGGTTTTCTAGTGGTTTATTTGAGATAAGAGTCTCACGGACTTCCTGCCTGAGTAGCTAGGATTACAAGCGTGAGCCACCGGCGCCCAGCATCATCTGCATTTTAAAAATTTATATTTGGGGGGCTGGGAAGGTGGCTCAGTGGTAGAGCGCTTGCCTTGCAATGCATGAGGCCCTGGGTTCGATTCCCCAGCACCACATAAGCAAAAAGAAAAAAGCCAAAAGTGGCGCTGTGGCTCAAGTGGTAGAGTGCTAGCCTTGAGCTGAAGAGCTGAAGGACAGCACCCAGGCCCAGAGTTCAGGCCCCACAACCGGACCCCCCCAAAAATTTATATTTGGCCAGGTGCTGTTGACTCACACCTGTAATCCTGGCTACTAAGGAGAGGGATCTGAGAATCTAGGTTCAAAGCTAGACCAAGCAGGAAAGTTTGTAAGCTTTTTAGCGGCAATTAAGCACCCTCCCAAAGAAGCTGGAAGTTGGAGATGTGGCTCAAGTGGTAGAATGCTGTCCTTGAGCAGAGAACTTCTGAGTAGTGCATAGATCCTGAGTTCAAAGTCCCAGGCCTGACATTAAAAAAATTAAGACATTATGTTTAGTTTTCTGTAACAGTCCCCACAAAGGCAGATGTCAAAAGCATTGACCAAAACATCTTCATTTATGTCACTTTTGAAAAAGGTGTTCACCTGTAATCTAAGATTGCTTAATTACCTACTATTGTGATACAGGAAAACCAACTGAAATGGGAGCAGAGATGCTTCAATCATCTCTTTGGGGGTTTGCCCATTTCTTTTTGTTGTTGTTGTGGGGCTTGAACTCAGGGCCTGGGTGCTGTCTCTGAGCTCTTTTGCTCAAGGCTAGTGCTGTACCACTTTGGCCCACAGCTCTATTTCAGTTTTTTGAATGGTTAATTAAAGTTAAGAACTACTGTGATTCTTCTGTCCAGGCTGGCTTTGAAACATGATCCTCAGATCTCAACCTCCTGAGTAGCTAGGACTACAGGAGTGAGTCACTGGCACCTGGCTAGGTTTTCCCATTTCTCCAGTCAGCCAATTGTCTGTGAATTCTTCCCAGGTGTCCTTTAACTCAGTTTAAGGAAGATAACACTGTTTACCTAGAAAACACTAGGTAATACGCTAGAAATTGGCATCAGATCTCATAGTGGAGGGATCACTCCTACAAGACTGCCCTTCCACTTCAAGCATCAGTTATCAGCACACAGTTATGACCTTGGCTCCTGACTGGCTTTAAATTCAGCTTCCTTCAATTCTTTGGGTCCAACTGATTTCCTAAAGTGGGTCCCGACTCAGAGCATGTTAACTTATATGTATTCACTTATTATAAGGGATATTATAAAAGATGAAGATGAACTAGTTGGGAGAAAGCAAGGCACATAGGATGAGTCAGAATGACCCCAGAACTTAGCTTTCATACTCCTGGAGCTTGTTTGTGTTTAGCTGCATAGTCATTGTCCTGAGTTTTCATGGCAGCTTCATTGCATAGACATGAGTCTATCATTGGCCTTCGGTGATCAGTTCAACTGCCAGCCTCTCTCACATGGCTGGAGATTGGGGTATCTTATCTTGCCTTTGGAGGTGCCAGCGCTTTTAGGAACTGCACACCAGGCAATGTGGCTAATGATCACAACCAGATTTCCCAATATCATAAATTATTTGACAAGTTGTCCCCTTTATTTGTACTTAAAGCATGGTATTTTTTTTTTCAGGTTACTTATGCATCACATCCGAGATTGCTTACCAGAGCTGAAAACAAGAATAAACGTTCTAGCTGCTCAATATCAGTCTCTTCTAAACAGTTATGGTGAACCTGTGGATGATAAAAGTGCTACTTTACTCCAGCTCATCACCAAATTTGCCACAGAATATTGTAATACAATTGAAGGAACTGCAAAATATATTGAAACTTCAGAGCTGTAAGTTAAACATTTTTGTAGACTTCATAACCTAGATTGCAAGGTCACTGTCTTTTGTTAAAGTGACTAAAATTATCTGATTGTGACTTCTTATCCATAAGGCAAAAATACGATTTTACAGAAATGGGTAGGATAACTAGTATGTGTGTAAAATGCTTTGTAAACTATGCACTATAAACTACTGTGCTTTTTTGGGAGTACTGAGGTTTGAAGCAAGCACTCTACCACATAAGCCACACTCCAGTCTACTGATTTAGTTATTTTTCTCTCCCTTTCTCCTGTGCCACTAGTGGGGCTTGAATTCAGAATCCTGGGTGCTGTCCCTTTTTTTTGCTGCAGATGAGCACTCTCACTTGAGCCACAGCTCTACTTCCTGCTCTTTGGTTATTAACTGGAGATAAGTCTTTAGGACTTTAGCTTGGGCTGGCTTTGAATGGAGATCCTCAGATCTCAGTCTCCTAAGTGACTAGGTTTATAGGTGTGAACCAGTAGTGCCCACCTAAACTAAAAGCATGGTAACAATTTGAGGTCTTTTAGAAAGCAGTATTTTTACTTGATATTCGTTTTTAAATCTTTTTTTTTTCCCCCTGAGGTCTCACTGTTGGCCAGACTGTCCTCAAACTCATGATCCTTTTTCCTCAGCCCCTCAAGTAGCTAGGATTTTAGGAGTGAGACATATGCCATATTCTAAAATCTTCCTTAATTTAACTTTTAAAATATTCTGTCAGGTGTTAGGGCTCATGCCTGTAATTCTAGCTACTCAGGTGGCTGAGATCCAAAGATCAAAGTTCCAGGTTAGCTCAGGTGGACAAATCTAAGAGAAAAATCTAAGTTCAGGCACCAGGACCAGAAGAAAAATAATAAATCAAAATTACCCTTAATTTTACCAACTAGAGGTTATTCTTGCTAAGTTTGACATTGTCCTAGACAAGTACTGGTCAAGATATTGAATTTGTCAAAACAGAATTAGGCAATCAACAGGTCACCAGTTAATAATTATTTTTAAAATTATATTAGAAGTAATAATTAGATATGTAATAAAAATGATAATTATGTAGCTATATAACTATTTCAATTTTTTATAAAAAATTAAATATGAGAAAACATCTAACGAGATTATTTCTTATTTGAAAATTACACAAAATTTAGATTTCAGTGTGAGTTGGCCGTATGGTAAAAGTATGCTGAACTTTACCCTCCATTTCATGAATCTTGAGAAACAAATATGGCATTGTTTGCTGTCTTTAGGAGCTCAAAAGCTAGTTAAGGAGAACTAGGCAGAGAAAAGCTGTTCAGCAATACCTGATTGATTGATTGATTGGTTTTGGGTCCGGTCATGGGGCCTGAACTCTGGGCCTGGGTGCTGTCCCTCAGCACTTCAGCTCAAGGCTAGCGCGCTACCACTTAAGCCATAGCACCACTTCTGGCTTTTTTTTCCCCTGCTTATTTGGTGCTGAGGAATCGAACCCAGGACCTCATGCATGCAAGGCAAGTGCTCTACCACTGAGCCACCTTCCCAGCCCCAATACCTGATGTTTTATGCTTACAAACATGGACATGGGAATAGATGAAGTAGAATTTTTTATATTTTTTATTTCTATTTTTGTCAGTCATGGGGCTTGAACTTGGCCTGAATGCTGTCCCTGAGCTTTTTTGCTCAAGGCTAGCACTCTACCATTTTGAACCACAACACCACTTCTGGTTTCGTGGTGGTTAATTGGAGATGAGTCTCATGGACTTTCATACCCTGGCTGACCGAACAGTGATCCTCAGATTTCAGTCTTCTGAGTAGTCAGGATTAGGGTGCCCAGCAAATAGAATTATTTATCAGACAAATTTGAAGAGTTCTGACTTTTAGCTTCTTTGTTACATAGTAATACAAATAATCATACAATTCATTGTCTTTCAGATGCGGTGGTGCTAGAATTTGTTATATTTTTCATGAGACTTTTGGGCGAACTTTAGAATCTGTTGACCCCCTGGGTGGCCTTAACACTATTGACATTTTGACTGCTATTAGAAATGCTACCGTGAGTATGCTTAACTTTCAGACTTCAAAAATGAGGTTAAAGCCCTTTTTTAAAAACTATATGCTATATGGTTTTGTTTTGTTTTGTTTTTTGGTCGGTTATAGGGCTTGAACTCTGGGCCTGGGCGCTGTCCCTGCGCTCTTCAGCTCAGGGCGAGCGCTCTACTTCTTGAGCCACAGCACCACTTCCTGTTTTCTAGTGGTTTATTGGAAATAAGAGTCTCAAGGACTTTCCTGCCTGGGCTGGCTTTGAATGACGATCCTCAGATATCAGCCTCCTGAGTAGCTAGGATTACAGGCATGAGCCACCGGCGCCCAGCTTATCTTACTATTTTTTTAAACAGTACTGGGTTTGAACCTGGGGGCCACATGTGTGTGTTAGGCAGGCACTCTACCACTTGAGCCAAGCCACTATCCCTTTTTTATTTTTTTTTATAAACTATTATTATTACCTTTAAGTACTTGTATAAAAGGATTTCAATTCAACAGGTCAAATTATGAGTTAAAAGTGCTGTGATCAATGTCAGTCCTTCCATTGTTTTCCCCCAGCTCTCTCAATCCCACTGATTCCCTCCACTTATCTGGTCCTGTTTTTACACATGAGTACTGTATTCGCCCACCCTCTCTCTCTCCTTCTGTCTCCCCTACTACCCAGCAAAACCTGTTTTAGCTTCCTGGTATTCATTTTGTTAAACTGTAAGGTATTGTTACTAATGAATTGTTACACCAAGGGAATCCTTCCCACTATCCTTTAGTCAATTTGTTTGTATATGTATGTAAGCACATGACTCAGAATATGTTCGCATATAATTTGGATCTAACTTCCACATATGGGAGAAACATGCACTATTTGTATTTCTGAGCCTGAGTTACTTCACCTAGCTAGCGTAAGTTTTTCTAGGTCCATCTATTTCCCTACAAATGATCTCTGATAGATGAGTACGATTCTATTGTATGTATGTATATGCATGTACATGCATTCTCTGTGTATACATTCTCTCACGTTTTCTCCATTTGCCCATTGAGGGGCGTCTGGGCTCTTAACTTGGCTATGGCGATAGTGCAGCAGTGAACATGTACGTGCAAAGGTCTTTACTGTATCCTGACTTGTAATGTTCTGGATAGATACCCAAGAGTGGTATTGCTAGATCATAGGGAAATTTTTAAAACAAGCCAGCAATCCTGTTTTTGTTTCTAATATAGCTTAGATGGTAGGTACACATGATCACACCCAGCTTTTTATTGATTGAGATCAGGTCTTATGAACTTAATGTCCTCAGTTGAGTCTCATTGCTCCCAGTCCTCCCCTTATCCACTACCCTAAGTAGCTAGGGTTACAGGCAGAAGCCACCATGCCCAGCCTCTTTATTTTGTTTTTGGCCAATCCTGGGGCTTCAACTCAAAGCCTGGGCACTGTCCCTGAGCTGCTCTTGCTCAAGTCTAGCACTCTACCACTTGAGCCACAGCACCATTTCTAGCCCTTTTTGTTTGTGGTACTGAGGAAACAAACCTAGGACTTCATACATGCTAGGCAAGCACTCTACCACTAAGCCACATTCCCAGCCCACCAGCCTGCCTTATTTATTTATTTATTTATTTTTGGGCAGTCGTGGGGCTTGAACTCTTGGGCACTATCAGCTCTTTAGCTCAAGGCTAGCGCTCTACCACTTGAGTTACAGTGCTACTTCTGGTTTTCTGTTGGTTTATTGGAGATGAGTGTCACAGACTTTCCTGCCTGAGCTGGCTTTGAACTGAGATCCTCAGATCTCAGCCTCCTGAGTAGCTAGGATTACAGGCTTGAGCCACCAACACCCGACTCAGCCTGTCTCTTTTAAAGTGACTGTATAGTTTGTCTTCATTTTGCTCTCATTCTTGAAGCAGCACTTTTCAGGAAAAATACCAAAAATATGATTTCACTTTGTAACTTTTGTGAACTCACACATGGCTGCCAATAATGAGCTGGAGTTTGTATCGTTTCAGGGTCCTCGTCCTGCTTTATTTGTGCCTGAGGTTTCCTTTGAGTTACTGGTAAAGCGGCAGATCAAACGTCTGGAGGAGCCCAGCCTGCGCTGCGTGGAGCTGGTGCACGAGGAGATGCAGAGGATCATTCAGCACTGCAGCAACTACAGCACACAGGTAACGGGTGGTGGCCAGTCAGGAAACACAAGGCGAGCTCCCTACTTGTCTAGGAAGTGATTTGAAATGGATTCATCACTTTGGTGTTTCAGTGATGAGTTAATTGCCATTAACCAAAACAGACTGACATTTTTATTTCTCTATCATACATAGGAATTGTTGCGGTTCCCTAAGCTTCATGATGCCATAGTGGAAGTTGTAACTTGTCTTCTCCGTAAGCGGCTGCCTGTCACCAATGAAATGGTAATTGGCTATTTCGTGGTTCATTTTAATTACCCCAAGTGACAGCTTAGACCTTCCTTTAGCAGCTTATTCTATAGCATTGTGGTTACTTTTGAGTTTAGGCACATCTTGCCAGGAAAATGAATCTTATTCCCAAAAAGAACTTGTGATAATTCTAGTACAAAGTGCATTTTTTTCCTTCATAATTTCATAATTGCTAACCTATAGCCATGCATTGTTGTGAGGAATGAATAACTTTGCTTGGTTAATGTTATACCTACCACTGACTTTAATGGAGAAATTAGTTCTGCCTTTAGCTTTTGTGAACTGAGTCTGTATTGCAAGCTTACTTTAACTGTGATGAAATTAATATTTTATTAATGTGATTAAAATGACATCAAGTTAATTTTTGCTCAAGGATGGCACTTGAGCCATATACCTCCATTTCAGGCTTTTGGGTGGCTAACTGGAGATAGAGTCCTATGGACTTTCCTGACTGGGCTGGCTTTGAATTCAGTCCTCAGATTTCAGCCTCCACCAACACCTGGCCCTATTAGTTTTTTTGTTTTGTTTTTTTGTCGGTCATGGGGCCTGAACTCTGGGACTGGGCACTGTCCTTCTGCTCTTCAGCTCAAGGCCAGTGCTCTACCACTTGTGAGCCACAACACCACTTGCGGCCTTTTCTGCTTATGAGATGCTGAGGAATTGAACCCAGGGCCTCATGCATGCAAGGCAAGCACTCTACCACTAAGCCACCTTCCCAGCCCCCAATTAGGTTTTGATCATGTATTATCTGCCCACCCAGGCTAGTTATTACCTCTAGTCAAAATGTATTCTTTTTTTGGGAGGGGGGGAGGGGTCTGGTTGTGGGGCCTGAACTGTGGGCCTGGGCGCTGTCCCTCAGCTCTTCAGCTCAAGGCTAGCGCTCTACCACTTGAGCCACAGCGCCACTTCCGGCTTTTTTTCTCTTTGCTTATGTGGTGCTGAGGAATCGAATCCCAGGGCCTCATGCATGCAAGGCAAGCGCTCTACCACTGAGCCACCTTCTCAGCCCTCTAAATGTATTCTTTATCCTATTTAAAGATAACTTTTTTTTTTTTGCCGGTCGTGGGGCCTGAACTGGGCCTGGGCGCTGTTCCTCAGCTCTTCAGCTCAAAGCTAGTTAGTGCTCTACCACTTGAGCCACAATGCCACTTCCGGCTTTTTTCTTTTTGCTTATGTGGTGCTGAGGAATTGAACCCAGGGCCTCATGCATGCGAGGCAAGCACTCTACCACTGAGCCAACTACCCAGCCCCTAAAGTTAACATCTTTATGTCTGATGGGAACTGTTTTCTTGTTGAAGATGATCTAAATGCTTGATGTAGATTAAAAAGATCTGAAATTTTAAGTGTTGGAACTTAGATTTCCTTTTTTTTTTTTGGTGGGAGGGTCCGGTCGTGGGGCCTGAACTCTGGGCCTGGGCTCTGTCCCTCAGCTCTTCAGCTCAAGGCTAG